TTTGTATAATGTATACTAGCCATCGAAGCTACCGCTTAGCCTCGCATCAAATAAGTCCTCATTTTTCAGTGTGAGATTGCACTTCAATTTTGATAGCGAAAAGTTTGATACTCTTTCTTTGTAGTGCTTGTTTATTATGGGATTGTATATTATCGTTTGTTTGATGTAACACGTTTTGAAAAAAAGAAATTAGTTGTGATTAATTTTTTTTCAATTATGATAATATTTTAGTTATGACTCATAAGATCTTTAATTATGTCTCATGTAGTATTTGATTATGACTTTTTTTTTATTAGTTATGACTCAAAAAATATGAAATTATGTAATTTTCTTCTTTAATTATAAGGTGAGAGTGTGTACCATAGTCTTTCTCATACTTTTACGTTTGTAATTATTTTTTTTATCAATTGATCATAATAATATAACCGAATTTGATGGGACTTAAGACTTGACTTGGTTTGATTTGGTTTGGTTTAACTGACCATAATAATAATAAGGATAATAATTTATTATTATGCTACTTGAGGATGACGAAAATAGGAGAAATTATACTTTGCTCCTAGAACAAATTTAGGTCAAGTTTGGCTATCCTAAATAAATACATTTTTTATCTTTTTATCTTTTGTCATCACATCATCTCTCTACTTTTCTGCACATCTTTTCGTAAAAAGATAAAAAGTGCACTTATTTAGATCATCCCAAACAACCCCTTAGTTTGTACCCCAATCTAAATATTATTGGTTGAAATAGTAGATCCCTCCTATTTGTTTATCTCACTTGGAGAGACAACTAAACACTTGTCCAAATAAAAATGATGTAGAGCAATATTCGTAGACCATCTCCAACCCAATACTGTTTCATCAAATTTAAATTTGATGAAAAACCTATATTTTGCTACTCCAACCCAACACCAAATGTTTCATCAAATTCAGGATTTCTCAAATCTTTCATCAAATTAAAGATAGATGGGCCTTTCCTCAAATCATTTTTCATAACCGTTGGAGTTACATGTCATTTTTACCACCAAAATTATCAGTTAGATGTCTGGCCAGTTGTCCCCCCAGATAACCACTTCCTTTTAAAAATTTTGAAAAAATTACACTAACTTGTCTACCGGCCAGACATCCGTCCAGTCATCTATCCGATTGATCGGTGTTTTGATAAAAACTCGTCGGAGATATCACATGAAATTTTTACTTAAATTTAGGCCAAGTTTGGAAAGTCTCAAAAAAGTCAAAAAGTCAAAAAATTACTCAAAAAGTTAAAAAATATTAATTTATACAATTTTTTAATACACATTTTTTTCATAAAAAGTTAAAAAGTTAACCCAAACATTCATATTTTCAACCTCAACTTTTTAATCAAAAAAGATAAAAATACACTTATTTAGGACATTCCAAACAACTCCTTAATAAAAAAAATATACAATGTTAGAAATGTTCTTCGAGCACTAAATAACCTGTCTGTAAATAGAGCAAGAGATTCCCTGTGGGTCAAATTCTTATTAGAAAAATGCTTGGGAGCACTAATTAGTGCTCCCACTAATTAGGTGGCAGTGGGTCCCGTCATTAATGATTTTTTAATACACATTTTTTTCATAAAAAGTTAAAAAGTTAACCCAAACATTCATATTTTCAACCTCAACTTTTTAATCAAAAAAGATAAAAATACACTTATTTAGGACATTCCAAACAACTCCTTAATAAGAAAAATATACAATGTTAAAAATGTTCTTCGAGCACTAAATAACCTGTCTGTAAATAGAGCAAGAGATTCCCTGTGGGTCAAATTCTTATTAATCCACATGAATGATTATTTGCACAAATCAAAGTCAAATCAAACCCTCAAATTAATCAAGTTGAGGAAAAATTATTTGTTAGTCTAAGACATCACGTAATTTATTTTATCTCTTTATATTCTCTAATCACATAACATAAAATTATAAATTTCATCAATTTTACTCATCAAAATATATATAAAGCATCATATGATCATACCCAAGACCACCAAATAACTTCTCCAAATTGAGGGTTTACGGCTGGGGAGAGGGTGACCTTAGAGTGCACGCCTAAATTTTGGGTTGATTTTGTCAAAGAAATTATCAATCAAATCACTGTGGTGATTGTTGATGGATAGAATGTTTTAATTTGTTGTCAAGTCATTTATTCTCAAATTGAATGAATTGGTTGAATTTTTTTGACGTGTTTAAATTTGCGATTTGAAAGAATTGACAAATTATAAATATAGAACAAATATTAGTGAACACATAAAAATTTTATTTTATTTTACAAATTTCAACCAAAAAATTATTATTTAATTAAAATCCCAATAGAAAATTACAAATTAATCAAATGCATGATTTTTTTACAAATCATATTTCATCCAGTATATAAAATAATCTAGCGATTTGAAGGAATTGACAAGTTACAGATATAGAAAAAGAATAAATATTAGGGGTTGTTTGAGATATCTTAAATAAGTGTATTTTTTGTCTTTTTGAATTAAAAAATTAAGAAAAAAAAAAGATGAATTTTTGGGTTAACTTTTTGACTTTTTACGAAAAAATATGTATTAAAAAATTATATAAATTAGTGTGTAGGAAAAATTTTGACAGTGTAGACTGTACAGTGTCAGTAAAGTTTGCAGAGTTGTGTAATAGGAAGTTGTTGCCTCCTTTTTGGGCAATCATTTGGCCGGTGCTCTTTGGCCAGTGGAGGCCCACTGCAGGTCTCGTTTTACTAATCGGAATCGTTCAATGTGTACAACTCATCGAGTATTATATTTTGTAAAAAATCACGTTGACCGAATATCTATAACTATCTGATCGGATTAGTTTTTTTGTCAACCGTTAATTATAACACCATCCATTTTTTTATACAAAGCTGATATGATTATGTAGTTAGCGATATCCAATCAACGTGATTTTTTACAAGCATATAGTACTGGATGAATTTTACACATTCAACGGTTCGGATTATCAAAATAGGACCCGTGATGGGCCCCTATGGGTCCAACATTACCGTCCAACTTAGTGAATATATATATATATGTAATTTTTTTTTTTGTTCCTTTCGAGATACTTTCCTATCAATTTAGTACCTTTCGCAGTATAAAATTGGTTTGTATTAAAATATTAATTTTTTTATATTTTTAATTTGTGAATAGTGATGACTTTTTACTTTTTTTTATAATTTTTTGACTTTTTAAATTTTTTCTAACATTCCAAACTAGGCCTTAGTGAATATAAAACTTGAAGGCCATGTTTGTTTGGTTCTTTAGGAAAGGGAATTGGAGTAATAGTCCCTGAGACTCATTTAAAGAGCGTTTGGTTAGGGACATGAATGAAAGGATTAGCTATCTCCTTGGACTAATAATCTCCCAATTGGTAGGACTACCAATCCCATAGAGAGATTAGAATTAAAAATTGAGTGAGAGAATTAGAAATTGAGTGATGGGATTAATGAATTTTTAAATGATTTTTAAGTAATATTTATATTTTTTTAGAACAAAAATAATAATTATAATATTAAAATTTTAAAAATATTAATTTTATATATTAATATTATCCATGGTATTACTTATGTGATAGTATACAAATAAAAACTCTTTATCTTATATTTCTAATCTAATACCACTACACTAATAATTTTCTCACTCAATCTTACCGTACTCTTCAATCCCCTCCATCTTATAGAACCAAACAAACGTGGCCTAATTTTATTTTGCAAATTTCAACCCAAAAAATTATTATTTAATTAAAATCCCAATACAAAATTACAAATTAATCAAATGCATGATTTTTTTTTATAAATCATATTTGACCCAGTATATAAAATAATCAAATTAAGCTATGTTTAGTTTTGGCTTTTTGGTTAAAAAGGTACAAAAGATAAAATTGGATTCATAAGCTAATAAAATAAAATGTCACATCTAAATTATAATCATTATATTTTTTTCTTTCACAAAAGTCATAAAAGTCAGAAATAAAAACCAAACGAGATTAAAAAAATCAAACTAAAATAGTCAAAAGGTTAAAAAGTAGGTTATTTTAGCTCTTCATAAATCAAAACTTAGAAACAATAAAAAAAAATGTGATGGAAATAAAGAGTGATGAGTCTCAAACGATTAATGGTATTGGAATTAGTGAGAAATTCGAGTTGAGTTTATTTGTAAGCATATTAACAATTAAGGTCTTGTTTGGCAAGTGGTTGTTTTAATTTAAAACTAAAAAAATTACTAAAAAAATAAAAAAATCAATAATTTATACTAAAAAGTCAAAGATTCTATTTTCTCCTTACTTTTTGCACATCTTTTCGTAAAAGTCAAAAAGTCATTCTAAACATACTAATTTTTTTACCTCATATTTTAGTCAAAAAGCCAAAAGTTATTAAAATAGTATGTTTCCAAACGAGGCCTAAGGATTATTTTTAGAAAATGGTTAAAAATTAATTTTTTAAATTTTTAAAAAAATATATGTAAAAAATGTAAGAAATGATATAACTAAAAATGAATTAAAAGTTAGAAGATCACTTTTAATAATTTTCTAAAATAACTCTAAATTGCAAGCCAATTGACCAGGTGAAGTTTGTCACCCCAACTAGCTCACCTTCTCAAACTATACTAATTAATTTGGATCAGTTTAGATCAGCCATTTTTTGCATTTACATAATTTAATGGACAAATTAAACTTTTAATTAGTGTACTTTAGTCATTGTTTTATTTTGATATTTATAATTTTAATTTGATCAATTTTAATCTTAAATTTTTATTTTATCTCATATTGATTCAATTGTTAGTATTTTTTTATGATAAATGTACATTATATATCATATTTTTATGAATAAAATTATAAACTTGATCGATTAAAAAACTTAAAACTCAACCCATTCAATACAAATTTATCTGAAAACAACGTTGTTATTAAATAAATTGACGTAAAATTTAAAATTAAAAATCAAATTAATCTAATTAAAATTATATAAACTACACCAATAACAAAATATAAAAATTATCAATATCATTTATCCTGATTTAATTAAAAAAAAGTAGTCCACAAGATGTATTTGATACATTGAATGGAACCAGTACTTTTGATACAGTATCACTGACAACACACTTTGGAGCACAAAAATTAAAAATTTGGATACAGAGAATTCGGCGGTGCGCGACAGTATTCAAAACAAACCTGAGTACTAGGCTACGGTGGTACTGTACATATGTCTGATCTTGGAAAATGGATGGAAAGTGATGATTTCTTTCTCATCTCTCTGTCTCAATCGTTTGATTCATCAACAATGGACGACATTGACGGATGAATTTTACGCTCAGATCTGTTCCTGCTCAACATCCTCTTCAACGAACCACTCAGTGTCATCGCTACTTGCGACGACAACGAAGATGAAGAAGACGATGAACATGCCGATAACGAATCACTCATCATCATCGCTCCAATTCCACTCTCATTATTCTCATCAGAATTCGAAACTTCAATCACAATTTCCGATTCCTCATCTCTCGCTGCATCGTTGGATGACACCGAATCGATCTCCGCAATCAGTACCGGCGCTCGACAAATGGGACAATTCAAGTGCGATGTCAACCAAACATCAATACACTCCACATGAAAAACATGACCACAATTAGGCATTTCTCTCCCCACTTCATTATCTTCAAACACGCTTAAACAAACCACGCATTCGAGTCCGTGCTCTTTGTTTTGATCAGACAAGTACACGAACAGAGGGATCGAGGAAATGGCCGAAGCATCGAGGCCTTTGGTGGTAGAAGAGGAAGAGAGAGTGGGGGTGTCGAAAGTTAATGTGTTGTTGAAATGGTGGAAACGAGGTGGACCGAGGACGTGGGAGACGGAGACGGAGCTTGGGCTACGACGACGACGACGGGTGTGAGCGAGGAACCACTTGGCGTAGACGTGGAGTAAGAGGACGAAGAGGATGACGAGGAGGAGGGATATGACGGCGGACAGCATGACGTTGCCATCGGAGAGGAGGGTGTGGAGGAAGTTGTTGAATGGGTTGTTGGAGTTTTGGTTGAGGGAGTCAGGTGGACTGGGCATTGGCATTGTTGTTGTTGTTTGCATAAATTGCAGTGTGGTGAGGGAAGTAGTAGTAGTAGTAGTGTGGTGTGTTTGTGGGTTTGAGAAATAATGAGGATATAATGTGGGATTTGTAAAAAGATTACTTTTAAGTGCATCGAAACTAATGGCCCATGATTCTCTTCCCCTCAATTTCCTGCCTTCTGTTCCAAAATACCTTTAAATCTTTAAAAATCTCTACAAGTAGTGGATGATTTGTGATTGGGGATTTAATACTAGGCATGGAAAAATACTAGACATCTCAAAAAATTTACCAATATTTTTATCAAATATCTCACATGAGTATAGTTTCACGCCTATGTAAGACATTTGGTAAAAATATTGATAAATCTCTTATGTTGGGTTTGGTTAGGAGATTTGAAGAGGGATTTGGAAAAGGAAATGAAAAAGGTAGGTGAAATGTAAATGAAAATACTTATATTTCACTTAATTTCATACACATTTTTTCTTTCATTTTCTAAATCTCTCCAAATCTTCCAACCAAATACAGCGTTAGTATCTGTAACACCACTGATATATACATACAAAGTTTTTACATATTGGAGTGTTCGTGAGTCTGATTCAAACAGATTGTATGTTATCTGTCACTTGACTAAATGGGGTTTGGGTTAAGAAAATTTCACCGCATCCGACAACTCAAAGTTTCAAAATTGATCAAATGGGTTAAGCAGATTGGCAATGGATGCAAATTGGGGCTGACAGATTAAACAAATTCTTATTTCCAGCTAAACAAATCCTGTTTTATAAAATAATATTTATTTTTTTAATTGAATAATGGGGAGCAAAGAGGATTATGCTTTTCTCAAAAGTGAAAAACATCTCTTTCAAGTTTCAAATACTTTATTTATTGGATAAATAAATATTATATAGGTATCAACATTTATGAAGAATTCTTTTTTTCATATAGTTGGCTCAGTTTCACGGATTGACGTTTTCTTGATTTTTTTTTGAAATTATTAGAACTGCATCCATCCACCCGTTGGGCCGAAACCGTCCATTTGAGGTCATGTTAAGTCAAGTTGGGCAGGTTAGCTGAATGTTTTCTCATCCCTACTCACATCAATATCATAAAGAAAAATACTATTTGTACTAAATTTATATATATATATATATATATTGTCATCAAAATGATATGACAATTACATTCCTATAGTTAAAATGCTACCCCCTTCATCCAAATCTTTTTTCTCTTTTTTCACGAAATAGCGGTTAGTATGTTAATAGTTAGATTACAACACAAGTTGACATTTCTACATAGATTCGAACTTGAAACCTCACTCACCTTACTTGGGCAATTACCCGGTCCCTTCATTCCAACCTATTCGTCCATTTTTGATAGTTGTGCCCTTTAATTGGGTCAATAAATTATGTATTTTCATTTTTAAAAATTCAAAAAAAAATCACAAATTAAAATATCTTAATTAATTCCTAGAGATGAAATATTTGAAATCGTTAAAAAAGAATAATTAAAAAAATATAAATAATTTTTTGACATGACTCCAATAGTGAAACTGAGAATCAAATTAGGATGAAGGGAGTATTTAAATGCTAACTTTGTTTTAAAACAAAAAGTCACAATGCAATCACATTATTTTGTATATAAATTATATTTACTTTATTTTTATTGCACTACTCTATCATAAAATGCAAGATCCAAATGGATTATATTTCATTTGTGATTGGTTTAAGTAGAAACGGTAAAGACTTGAAAATAAGATTTAAAATCTCGAGTTCGAATCACACTAAATGACCACTAGAGATTTGTCCGGCTGTTAACTTCAGAATCCTAAAATTAATCAAGGAACATGCAAACTAATCCAAATACTCAATTATCTTTAAAAAAAAAAAAAAATACAAGGCCATAAAAGTCAATTGTTTAACATATCCCAAAAAAATACACAAATTTATTAAGAAAGAAAATATTTAAACAAGAATCTTTAGGAATAAAACCCACGACACGACAACCTAAATTAAACTTTTTCCCTCAACTTTAAATTTACAAGTGACACTTACAACTTTTGAGATACCTTTAATTTAGGGGTCATTTTCGTATATAGTTAGTTCATGGGATGGGACTAGTACTACAACTACGTTTACGTGAATATAAATAAATAAAGTCGTTGATAACGGATTAAATCACGGGCATTGTGCCCTCACTTCTTCTAACATTGCGTATGCTTCTTACCTAAGCAAGGCAAAACCCTCTCTTTCTCTGTCTCTCTCTTTCTTGTGTATTGGTCTTTGAGGTCAAAAGGAATCCCTTCATCCAAGGGACTATTAGGACTCATATGCAGAGTGAGAGAAGATGGGTTGAAATGAAGGTCTCGTGAAGGCGACGGCAGCAAATAGTTTAATGTGCATATTTTTAATGGTGGGGGGTGGGTGGTGGAGGAGGTATATGACTTATTATTGTATTCATGTTCTCTCTTTAAAAAAAAAAAAAAAACAAATTCATTAACACTAGCATTGTATGTGAAGTGGATAGGGATAGTAGTGATTTGATCATTAGACAAGTTATACATAGAAGGCCTCATTTTTATATATAATGTATATATTACATAAAAATAAAAGCAATGGTGAAAAGAAAATTAAAAAAACAAAAAAACAAAATTACACAAAAAAGATCTAATTAAAAAACCAATTATTACATTTTACCCTCTTTTTCTACCAAAAATTAGTACTATTGTATTATGTGTACATTATATATGTTCCAGATGAATAAACTGCAAAAAATAATATATGAAATTGATCTTCTCCGTCACAAAATTGACTAAGCCAAACTAACTAGACTCTCTGACCTTTATATATTGCTTAAAATTCTAATTAGGTTGATATGTCTATGTAATTAGTTTGTTACAAATACTTAACTTAATTGCACCTGATCATTTCATATATAAGAGAAAAGTTAAGTCTAATCCTTGTACCGCTGTGAACATTTCTCCATTCTTGGCAATGGTCTTCGAATAATATTTTTTGTAAATGATATAAATTTTAAAACAATATTTTGTTCTTCTTTATTTGTATTATGTTGTTGTTCCTACCCGAATTACATTGAGTTACATATATATATATATATTTATAAATTACATTGAGTTACATATATATATATATATTTATATACATATATTTCTTGGATTCGAACATTGAGTTGTATTGATTTGGTTCTAGTATACGAAAATGGAAAAAATTAATTTGACTAATAGTTCAATGGACTACAAATCTCCTCCGATAGGAAAATGAATTTATTTACGTAGTTTTAAAATGTTTGAACAACATACAAATTCTGATTAGTCTAAAATAATAGACTCTCTATTCAAAAAAATATAAATCCTACTATTTTTACCAATCACAAAATATATATTTTTCACTCACTCTAAGTGTGAACAAAACCAGACTCTTTCAATGGGGTATTAGCAATCCCATGGAAGGGTTAGATTTCACAATCAAATTTCATGGAATTGCTCATGAAAATACAATTATATATACCCCAACATATAACAATAACAAAACTACATTTTTATATATTAAGGATTTTTACATAAATTCATAGATTTTTCAACCAACTAATGCCAACATATTCCTACACAAAAAAACAACTTATCTTATTTCTCTAATTAAATATCATCACATTAGTAATCTTCATACTCAGGTCTCGTTTGGCAATATATTTTTTTAGTAACTTTATAATTTTTTGATTAATAGATGATGTAAAAAAAATTAGTATGTTTGGGATGAATTTTTGATTTTTTTCAAAAAGATATGAAAAAAGTAGAGAGAAAAAAAAAATTTAATTTTTTAATTTTTTTAATGACTTTTTGACTAAAAAAATTACTTAGCAAACGAGACTTCAATGTTATCGTACTAATAGTTTCATCAATCTCAATCTGACAAACAAACGGAGCATCAGTGCTAAGCCGAATGAAATTGAGCCACCTGTACACCCTACTACCACCGGCAGCAGTGGCAATAACAAAACAGGTTGGGGTTTGCTTCTTTTTCCAGATTTCCTGGATCATGGATGCATCGGCCAAAAGGGGGCCAAAAGCCAAGCCAACTTTGGGGCGGGTTGGCTCGTGACACCTCTGCCTCTGACCCTTGCCATAATAGATCACGCTCCCAAACAGGAGCACGAAGAGGTGGCAGAGTAATAAGTAGAATAATTATTTGATAATTTTAAAATATTACTTTATATCATTTATCATTATTTATCAAGTTAATTATTTTTTAAAATCTTAACAAAAAATAAGTATTGAATCCTACAACATTAGCCAATAAACAATTGTACAATGTGAATTTGTCATAAGATATAAAAAAAAAAATTGGATGAATTACACTAATCGCTATTATAATTTGAAATTAGTGTCACGGCATTTTAATTATGATATATTTAACCTTAAATTTTAACTCTCACTCTAAATAAAGACAATTAAAGACACTGTTGTTCCATTTGAAAGGTAAAATCATCAATTTGATAAAATATAAAGAGTGCTGCTATTAGCAACCCATAAATTATTTTGGACCCCTCAACTTTTAACTTTTTTTATTACAATAATAATCTCAAATAAAATTATTAAAAAATGTATCATTAATTTTGAAACACTCCATCTTACAGTTAAACCCACACTCCCACTTCATCATGAATTAAGGTTTATAAAAGCACCCACCTCCATCACCACACATCCATCTCTCCCAAATCTTACCTTCAAAACTTACCCACTCTCAAAATCTTAAAAAACCCTTTGGCGGAAATATTCTGGCGGTAACGGTAGCACCCATTTGATTACCTACACTTTTCTAGCAATGACAATAAGTGAAAAATTTCGACAACCACAACTCCATGAAACGAGAGGAGTATAACAATAAAAGTTCAGCGAAAATTCATAACTTTGATGGTGTTCTTAACTAGAGAAGATTGGCCTTGTAAGGGTAAATTTCTTTAAAAAGATGACAAAAATAATAAAATATGTTTGTCATTTTTTCAGAACTGAACTCCCGAACATATGATCGAAATTCGAGAACACAGGAGATTGAGAAAGAGAGAGAGAGAGCATACTAACTGTGACAATGGTTAAACTGAAAAAAAAAAAAAAAGAATGAAGCAGCATAGACTGTAATCACACTTGACACTTCTTCTTCTCGTGGGTTTTGTTAAGGGTTTTGGAAGAGAAGTT